CGAGCTAAACCCAGTCGGTCAAGAAACTCTTTTGGACAATATTCCTGTAGAAAACTTGGACTATAACCGTTTAGTCATAGCGCCAGGTGAAGGATAAAGACCAATTGACATAATTCAAGACAATAATTCAGAAGAGTTGTCATTTGGAACAATATACGCTGGGCAGAAACGTACGTGCTCTTAAACATATAGCAAAATAATACGTTCTGAAATTCGCCGTTTTGACAGAAGAGCGTGTAACATTCCAAAGTTGTTCTATGATTACAAAAAATTAGAACTGCTACAAATTTAGAATAGTACACCCATTTGCCTAGAAAGTTTTCAGGCCGCAACCAAGTTACGGCCCAAAATCTATTAAACGAAAACTTTGTTCAAAACTTGATTCAACACGATGATGGTTACAAGGTTTTGAAAGGCGTTAGATCCTCTCCTGCGCACTGGCAAGCTGAGAAGAAAAAGGCAATCGCTATGATTCGCCAATTTGGGCTTCCAACCTTCTTTATCACTTTATCGGCTGCAGAATCTCAGTGGGTTGAGCTTTTGGCCAACAGTTTAACAACCCAAGATAGATATCGCTTAATTCGGTCAGACCCGGTTACTTGTGCTAGATATTTTGACTACCGCTATCGACAAATTCTTAAGCTTTTTAAAGATAATGCCGGCATTTGTGGAGAGCATTTTGTCACAAATTTCTACTGGAGAGTGGAGTTTCAACAGAGAGGTTCCCCGCATTTACATGGCATGTATTGGCTTAATAATGCTCCCAGGATCAACCTTCAAGATCCTCAGACATTCCCTGATGTGATTAGTTTATTAGTTGTTTAAATGTTTCAATATTAACATTCTGGTTCTTTATAGAAATTCGGCTTACTTATTCACACATTTAATTGTAGAACTTCAGGAAGTCCTTACTTCTGAGTTATGCAATCGAAATGTGCTAATTGTTGGAGATTTTAATATTTGTTTAATGTCTACAGGAACTACAATAGGAAATCTGCTTCAAGAAAAAAACTTTGGTTCCCTGCTTGGTGTAGATTATTCAACTACACCTGCCGGTGCAGAAATTGATTGGGCATTTTCGAACATGGATCCTTCCCATGTTAGTGCAATATGTAAATAATCCAATTAAGAAAATTTAAATTATAGGTATAATTTATTATTATATAAGACATTATTGTATAAATATAGGATAGAAATTAAATAGTATAAGGAGAAAAGAAATATAGTTTGGACATACCTATGTATAAGAATCTCTAAAAAAATGTATATTTTAATATTGTAAATATTATATACAAATTAATATAATAATATAATTTTTAAACTTGTATGTGTTTATTATTTGTATAATAATATCGATATAATAAATAAAAAATATTATTCATTGTCCAAAAACGATTTCTTTTATCATACTTCTCAATACAGTATATACCAATTAACTTTGAGAGAGTATAAAATGTTCGGTTACATCCGAACTATGCCTGTTTATTATCCTTTGTTTTAAATTCGCGCCCGTTTAAGTTGTTGGTATTTATGTATGTTTTGTTGTTGCCCGATTTGTGAGTTAGTTTGTCAAAACCTTTTATATTTTTTGTTTCGGTTGACACGCACCTCTGTATGTATATATGTTTTTGTGTAATATGGTATATGTTTATGTATATTATTTCGTTTGCCACTGCACGTCACCGCACTGCACTGTTTTTTTTTTTATTTTGTGGTTTGTCTTGTCACCACGGTTTAAAGGCATTTTTTCCTGGACAAAACCAATAGTGACATTCGGAATGACTCGAAGGACCATGAATAAAAGCGTGCCCAATTTATCGGGGAGCACATTACTTTATTGAAGCTCTAATGGATATCGCGGGACCTAAGCTTTAATACCTCACTCACCACTTTCACGAGTTTTAAAACGCGCGGTAATTGTTTGTATAATTTATTACTTGAATAGTAGAAATGCATTCAAAATAAGTAATAAATTTATTTTGTAAATGATTCGCTAATCGTAATCCTGTACGGTGTACAGTGGAATCAGGAACCGAGTTCAAGCCAAATATATTAGGTAAAGTAAAGTTCGTTCGGTTTTTATTGATTTTTTAAAAGATGATAACTTTGTGTACATTTGTCCGATTTAAGTCAAATATGCACCGTTTTGTTCGTAAACTTGTTGCCAACGAGATGCCAACTTCATTATACCCCTCTCGTAGAAGACTGCGTCCCTATTGCCAAAAACTCGGAGAGCCAATTTTCAGAGCCTCTTTTGAGGCCAACTTCTCACCATTAAGCGCGTTCGCCATGGACAGGAAAAGATGGTAATCACTTGGTGCCAGGTCCGGACTATAAGGTGGGTGCATTAGAACCTCCCATCCGAGCTCCAGGAGCTTTTGGCGAGTCACCAAAGACGTGTGTGGCCTGGCGTTGTCCTGATGGAACACAATTCGGCTTCTGTTGATCAAAGATGGTCTCTTCTGGATGAGTGCTGCCTTCAAGCGGTCCAGTTGTTGGCAGTAGAGGGCCGAATTGAGCGTTTGGCATAGGGGAGCAGCTCGCAGTAGATGATTCCTTGCCCATCCCACCAAACACACAGCAAAACCTTCCTGGCCGTCAATCCGGTCTTGGCCACCATCAGGGCCGTTTCCCGAGCTTTGACACGACCGTTTGCGCTTGATGTTGTCATAAGTGACCCATTTTTCATCGCCAGTCACAATCCGCTTCAGAAACGGTCGATTTTGCGATTTTCAGATGAAATTCGGTCCATCATTTTTTTTTCGTTAGTTCGTGTGACATCCAACATCGAGCTCCTTTTGAATCCAGGTTATACAAATGGTTCCAAACGGTTTTTAGCTTATCTTTAGTTCCTCAGCAATTAAATAAGTGCTCACGTGACGGTCTGTTTCCACTATTTCCATAATTATCGCAATTTTCGACGACAGGCCTCCCGACGCGTGGTGCATTTTTGACATCGAAATTACCGGAACGGGACCTAGCAAATCACTTTCGTGCTACACGTTCGTTTACAGTATCGGGCCTATAAACTAAATTAATGTTTTCAGCGCTTTGGCTGCTTTTCGCTTTGATCGAAGAAAAATGTAAATATAGCGAATTTTCTCTTGTTGGTGTCAATCTTTGACGAGCGCTCGCAACGAACTGAGTAAATCAATCGAAAAACTGTTAAAGACAAACTTTTAGCGCGAATAAACACGTTTTCAGCGCCGTGTAGTATGACATGATGCGACACGTAACACTAGTACTATGGACAATAACGCCATCTCTTAGATAAAAACCGAACGAACTTTTTACTTGACCTAATATTAATTATAGCGCGAAGAATCGCTGACGAAAAGAATTGACGTTGCGCAGTGTAGATTGTGAAGCAATCGAAAAAAGCAGCGAGCGAGATCAGTCGTAATCGAACGTTGACTTGGCGCCCCGGCCTGTTGACAAAACGAATGTGTTTTTGCGAATGATGATTCAATTCCACCATCGTGTGTGGAAGTGTGAGTTGTGTTCGAAGGTGTGGTATATTGTATTAGAGTGTGTCATTATTTACCCTGATGGAGCGGTGTACTTGGAAGGGGAAGTTTATAGTCATTTAAACGCTATGGTTGTTACAAAACCAGCTTTTAAATATTATAAACACCATATTTGTATGGAGTGGACAAAACACAAATGACTGAAGAGGAGCGAAACGCTTAAAAGTTTTAATTTTACTTCCCACGGCCCCGGCCATGTTATATTTACGGTTTCCAAATTGTAGCTTCCCTCGTTCAGTTTCAACAAATTACTTTCTATAGTACGTACAAATATAATAACTGATTAAAATATTTTAAAATTATAAAGAAAATAGTTCTCCTAATCCATTTCTACTAATATTTTTCCTAAATAAATTAGTGTTTAACTACAACTGCTTGGTAGCAGTCTGTATATTATATGCGAACTAGTCCTTAAGATTTTGAGATATCATTATGAAATTTTTCACACGTCCTTCTCTAACAACGATGCTGCTGATTTGCTGGAACCGCCGAAATCGGATTACTATAGCATATATTGTAGATAGACATATATTGAGGTTTGCTCAGCGACTATCACACTGATAAATTCCAGTATACTGCTGGGTTCTATTGACTTGATGTGCTTCCCATTCGGATACATGGATCCAAGGTTACTAATTCTGCGTCCACAGACTGCTGTGCAGACTAGCATCAGGTGCTCGGGAGTTTCCAGTTCCAGCTCGCAGAACCGGCACTTTGTAAACCTACTGAGATTGTAACCACCAGAGTGCCTGAGAGCTGTTACCAATACTTTTCTCTGAGCATTGTTTCCTCCTTGCGGATCAGCTTCTTTACGGTATGAGAACCAACCGCAATATAGCAGTCCTACCATTCAAGTAGCAGCTGCAGAGTGAGCAAGCTCGTCAGTTCATTTATGGCTGTCTATAGTATAAACCTGTCATACAAACTAAACGATCGGAATAAAATTCTTGTATAAAAAACATTTTTATTTGACAGATATCTTTTCGAAATTTGAATTGCATTATTGTTCAAAGAAACGGTAAAATCTCCGAAGAAATTGTTCAGATCGAACCTCTTTAGCATATATCTAGCTGTCATACAAACTGTTCGAGCAAAATCCAGTTCGTTAATGAAAACTTTTGTATTTGACAAAATATTTACACCAACTTTGGCATGGATTATTGTCCAAAGCAGCAAATCCGAAGAAGTTTTTCAGACCGGAACACTATAGCATGTTTCCGAATCGTGGGAAGAATTTGGTAAGAAATTAAATTGGAACTTGATCTAGTATCAACTTTCAATTTCAAAAGAAATTTTTTTAACTGGTACTTCAAAACAATAAATTTGTATAACAAGGTGTATGAAGAAACTATTTTTTTTTTATAAATATGTTTTAACGAGGAGCAGTTCTTATAGCTTAATTTATTTTTAATTGCTCCAATATTTAATTTAGCGGCATATATTCTTTAATTGGTATATGTATGTTCTTTTTAGTGACAAAACATGTTGGAAATGGATACAGTAATTAGAGATGAAGATTCCGATTACAATATGGCAACATCAGCATCCAATAACAGTTCTGCTGTATCCACGATTTTACAGATATGTCAATCAAGCTGCACTGATTACGTAGGAGTTCTGCCTCCACCGCACATCGACATGGTAAGCGTGAATAGTGTTGAACTAAATGCTCAAACATCGTTAAGTGATGACTCTGGCGTTCCACTTACAACTAACAGTTCAATATCTAGTGGAGATTCATATCGATTGGGATTATATAAACATGACATTGATGTACGTTTTGTTTGAAAAGACACATTTTCATATCCATATACACTAGGTAGAAAAAGTTCCCTCTCACCAATTCGTGGAATGTGTTTCAATAATAATATTAATAAAATATATGCGTTTTTGAAGTTCTTTTCAGAATATCAGCGCTGCTAATAGCATTACAGTCGTCAAATTTCATGAAATTCCTATGTGCTTTTGCAAGTTTAAGGGCATTTATAGAATTCTATTAATACAGAATAAGCAGAGCAAAAGTGTCCGCTCACTGCTTATGACATTAGTTAATTTGAGTTACCACGCGTTTGAGACTTGTTAATTGTTTGTACGTTGTTGTCAATAATACAGATTTAGACAGATTTTTCGAATCATTCAGCGTAAATGAGTGCAAAAGGCAAAGAACTAAGTGTTGATGAACGGAAAATAATTTTAATATCAAGGGAAGACGGTAAAAGCTTTCGTGAAATTGGACGAGTTGTCAACAGAGCAGAGACAATTTGAGCAGAACTCGCACACATACGATTACCAACAAAGAAATGCTCAAGGGCGTTATATTGGATGAATGCAGTAAAATTTCGACTGAAGATACGAAGAAATTAGTACATTCCATGTCTAAACGTCTACCAGAAGTTCTAAATTTCGAAGCTACCCTACCAGCTATTAAACTTTTTATAATTACTTGATATTATTGTGCTCTGTTTGATGAGCGGAGGCTTTTTTCGTTTAAGATAATAGTTTTTAAAATGACAATGAACTCTGTAGTTTTTTTGTTTATTTAATTATTTAAAAAAAAAAGTAATTTTTTTATGGTTTTAATATATGGTTTAATAACACCAAATTTTTTTTAAATCTCTTAATTGCTCAAACCTTTATTTTAGTTTATAATATTTTGTACCCAGTGAGCGGAACCTAGTGTCTACCTAGTGTAATATTGTATATAATTTATAACTGACTTGAATTTATTACAATACTGTTTTTTAACAACTCTTTCAGATTGTGGAAAGTGATGGTGAAGTCTCTCAGTTTGATTCTTTAGATAATTGTTCAGAAGCTGGCATGAGTGCGGAAAATTTTAATACATTAAAAAAAGGACCTTTAGCACCAATAGATCCTCCACTAGAGTTTCAGGACTCACCAAATATAACAATTGGCCGATGTATTATGCAAAAACTAAGGCGGTTTTCTTCTTCACACTCTTCTTTGGAACATTCAAAAGACTCTGAGCATAATGATAATAGTATTAACGTGGACAGAATTTTTTGTAAAGACTCAGATGTAGAAGTCTCACCCCAATATTTTGCAAAATCACACAAAGAAGTTTACCTCATAAAGAAACCAATATACTCAAGCGATTCCATTCTAAGTAATAAAGTAGAAAATGTGTACGACGAGCCAAGTAACCTGATATGTAATTTCGCTTTTAATAATGCTGAAACATTTGAGTCAAATACGTCTTCAAATGCAATGTTGTTGCCACAAACTTCGCATCCCCCAGAAAGAGTAATAAGGGACATCTGTCCTTTTTATCAAGATCACTCTATGTATTTTAAGGCAATACCGTCAGATCAAGATAGTGGTATAAGTGCTGTTAAGAAGTTCAATACATTTGGGCGCTCAGAAATCCATGATTATGATCTCTATTATGGAATTAAACGAAATACCTTTCAAGGAGAAAATGGTTTACAAAGAAAGGTCCTGTACAGTCCTCGTAAAGTTACAAATTATTGTCATAGCCATCATATATATACAGGTAAGTTAATAAATATATAATAGATCTATGTATATTTGTTGTCCTTTTTATACACACGTCCCTTAGACAGACTACTTATTATTGCAAATACTTATTGTTACAGTGCTTCTAAAACTGCTCGCTATATTGGTTTTAAACTTTGATAAAAAAAATTGTTCTTAATTGAATTTATTATTATTAATATTTTATTAACACACTAATTTATTATTTATCTATTAAATTTTGTTTTACTTACTCTTTTATTTGATCTTAATTCTTGTGGTTTATTATGTCTTGTAACTTCCCCAATTGTAACATTAAAGGCGAGTCAGATCGCTACGTTTCATGCTGGCTTTGTGATGGGCTTGCCCATATTAAATGTGCTGGACTGACAGGTAGAATCTTAGATTCTATTCTCGACTGTAAGGGATTGCGTTGGTCCTGTTTAAATTGTAGATCTATTGAAATCGATCTATTTAAAGTTTATAGGGAGACACGCAATGACTTTAACGAAATCGGTCGTGATCTTGTAACCCTCACTGAAAAATTTAGGCACTATGAAAAATTGTTCAAATCTTTTAAGTGCCTGAATGATTCTCACGAATCCTCTAAACCTGCTCCTAAGCGTAAACGTCCTTCCGATGAAGTAACACTTCGTTCTTCTGTACAGAAAAGAACGTCTCCTCCCAATGACCTAATAAATCTCTCTTTTCCTTGCCCTCTAAGTGATAAGCTGTCAACTTCCAAAGAGCTCAATTCCCCAAAAGCTCTATCTAATAGTAATAAGTGTCTTACAATTCCAGAGGCTCCCCCTATTAACTTAGTAGCATCAGTTAATAATCTGATAGTTAATCCACCTAAAAAGTCTATATTTATTTCGAGACTTGCCAAAGATACCTTGGTGGAGGACATTAAATCTTACATTTCGTCACGTTTAAAAATCGATGATATCAATATACGTAAATTTAACTTCAATTATGATAGAAGTATATCATCGTTTAAAATAGACGTATCTCTTGAAACATTCAAAAAGATCTTAGATAGTTCATTCTGGCCACCTGGGGCTTTTGTACGCGAATTTAAACCTAAACTTAGAAGTCAAACTGAGGAAAACATTGTTAAATTACCAAAAGCAATCACCGATATAAAAAACTGATTAGTAGAAATTCGCTAAGCATTTATTATCAAAATGTTAGAGGTCTTAATACAAAATTAACTGACTTGTATTTAAACAGTTCCAATTTTAATTTCCATATAATTGGATTTACAGAAACTTGGTTAAAATCTCACATTTTTGATAATGAGATTTTAAACAGCTAATTTCAAATTTTTAGATGTGAACGACTGAACAGAATCGGAGGAGGTGTTCTATTTGCCGTGCATCCTCTATCCCATCTGAAAATATTCTTGTTCCAGGGACCGACTCATTTGAATTTAAATGTATTAGAGTATACGTTAATAGTTGCTATTATTTTAACCCTATCTTATATACCACCCCATTCGGACTTATCTGTATACATGCAGGCATGCTTCTTTAATAAATAGTGCTACCTCGATGGCAAATAATGCAGATTCAATAATTGTATTAGGTGATTTCAATTTACCGTGTGCTTCGTGGAAACCTTTCGATGACTATATCGTGCCGATTTGCAATCGGTCATGTTTTAATGAGTTTTTCGTAAAAATGTCCGAGTTGGGTCTGAACCAAATTAATTTGATTCCGAATTAATTTGGTAAATGCTTAGATTTAGTATACGTTGATACCTCTGCAAAGTGTTCCGTTATTCAGAGTAATCCTCTTGTTCTACCAGAGGACTCATATCATCCTGCTTTGGAAATATCTGTCGAAATCTCAGGCATTGTACGGGATAATAATCATCAAACTTCGTGCTTCTGTACTCGGTTTAACTTTGCAAAAGCTAATTTTAACAAGTAAGGAAGGGCTAAGTTCGGATGTAACCGAACATTTATACTCTCGCAAAGTCAAATAGTATACTCGTTTGAGATTTCTTTGGGTGACTGATATTTTCGGTAGAAGGTCAACTATAGGCACTGGGGTCCACATATTTAGTACTTAGGGGCTTAAACAGTTTTGGTTCGATTTAGACAATTTTTGGCCACAAGGTGGCATACTTTAATCGCATTATTTACGCAAAGTTTTATCCCGATACAGTCATTGTTGCCTGATTTGCATAGTGGAAAGTGAAAGAATCAGATGGAATTTAAAATGGTGTTATATGGGAAGTAGGCGTGGTTGTAGTCCGATTTCGCCCATTTTAGCACTATGACATAGAAACATGAAAAGTACGTTATGCACCGAATTTGGTTGAAATCGGTTAAGCAGATCTCAAGATATGGGTTTTCACCTAAAAGTGGGCTGTGCCACGCCCACTGTATAATTTTGAACGCGGTTCCTATAAAGTCATCTCATACCATCCCAGAGATAAAATTTAATGTCTCTGGCGTGTTTAGGGCTTGATTATCGCGCTTTTAGTAGTTTTAACAGTACCGTTATATGGGATTGGGCGAGTTGCCACCCGATTTCAACTATTTCCACACCGTCAATAGAAGTGCTAAAACATTTGCTTCCAGTGAATTCTGTTATTATAGCATTAGCGGTTTAGGAGATATGCACATTAAACATATTAGAGGCGGACCACGCCCACTTAAAAAACAATTTAACTGCAGATCCCTCCTTAATGTGATCCTGTGTACCAAATAACAGTCTTGTGTCTTATTGCGGATCTATTTATGGCAATTTATTTGTTTTGATGGCGTGGCAGTGGTCCGATTACGCCCATCTGCAATACCAACCGTCTCACGGTACCAGAAACAGTCTACCAAGTTTCATAAAGATATCTCAATTTTACTCAAGTTAGAGCTTGCACGGACGGACAGACGGGCGGACGGACAGACAGTCACCCGGATTTCAACTCGTCTCTTCATCCTGATCATTTATATATATATAACCTATATCTAACTCGATTAGTTTTAGGTGATATAAACAACCATTAGGTGAACAAAACTATTATACTCTGTAGCAACAATTGCGAGAGTATAAAAGTTAAATACAGAACTTTCTACAATAACATGGCCTAATTATAATGGTGACATTGAATTGAGTGTCTCTCATTTTAATAACATTATTATGAAATTATTTGAAAAGTATCTTCAATAGTAATTGTTATAAAAGCAAAGTATAAGCCCGTGTTTCAGAGTATATAAATTGAAAACAGAAAACTCGAGCCTTTAAACATTTTAAAAACGGTTCACTTGTCGCTATTCTAAATATTCTCTATTGCGTCGACAATATTTGACCTAAACAAAAATGTTATAATAATACTTAAATAAAGTAAAAAATATTGCAAGTAATCCAAAATCGTTTTATGATTTTGTCAACTCCAAACGCAGGATTCTAAATTTCGTCCGCAATGAAATACAAATCTATCATTTCAAGTGACAATGATTTTATATCCAATATGTTTGCAGAATTTTCAAGTCAAACTACTGTAATAATTCTTCCAAAATTTTCTTATCAGCAAGTGCTGTGTTCGAATACTTTAATTAACGCCCAATTATTTCTGAAGAAGACGTCCTACTTAATTTAAATAAGTTAAACCAGCTTCTAGTTATGGCCCAGACATGATACCCTCATGCTTCATAAAAAGAGTGCAAAATATATTTACTTGCCTTTGACAAGGATATTTAATTCCTCTCTAACACGGTGTATTTCCTTCAATATGGAAACAGTCATTTATAACCCTTTGCATAAAAGTGGATTTAGATCCAACATTGAAAACTAAGAGGTATCGCAAAACTATCAGTTATACCTAAACTTTTTGAAGCTATCATCACTGACCATATAACCTTTTCGATTTCTCCGTTAATTTCCTCATCTCACCATGGATTTCGTAAAGGGAATTCGACTATAACAAACTTATTGAATTTGTAAGCCATGTATCATTGGGTTTTAGGGAACATAAGCATACGGATGTTATATACACAGACTTTAGCAAAGCTTTTGATAAAGTAAATATCTCGATTCTCATACATAAACTTGATCTGCTGGGCTTTCAGCCAAGATTCCTTCAATGGGTATCTTCCTATCTTTATAATAGAACACAACGAGTGATATTTGAGGATACACCTTCAGATACAATTAATGTTTCTTCAGGTGTTCCGCAAGGTAGTCATCTTGGCCCGATTCTGTTCTTGTTGTTTATTAACGATATCTCTTCAGTAATAGAATTCTCAAAAATTTTATTATACGCTGACGACGTAAAGCTTTTTAAATGATACACTACAACTGAGGAAAGGTGTCTGTTGCAAACAGACTTAAACAATTTGGTTGCATGGTGTGATAGAAATAATTTGCCATTGATGATGTGCCAAGATGATGTGCTTTTCCCGTAGATCTGTGCACCACTCTTCTTATGTAATAAAACACCATATTCTAGAGCAAGTTTTTAACTATGTTGATTTGGGAGTTAATATGGACCCTAAGCTTAATTTCAGTCTTCATATTGATACCATGGTCTTGAAAGCAAAAGCTGTCCTCAGTTTTGTTAAACGTTGGTCTAAAGAATTTAGAGATCCGTATATTACTAAAACATTTTATACAACATTGGTTAGACCTATATTGGAATATGGCTCTGTTGTATGGAACCCTAGCTACCAAATCCATTCTGACAAGTTAGAGTCGGTTCAAAAACAATTTTTACTTTTCGCCTTAGCGCATTTCCGATGGGATGCTAGGGTAAGTCTACCTCCATACACTAGTCGTTTAGAACTTATTAATCTACCTACACTTTCTAGTCACACACAATTAGTAATTCATATTTCTGACAATCCTTTTCAACACTTTGCATTTTGATATACATTTAAAATAAATTAATTTGATTTGAGCATTTATCATGTTTCGTCTTAGTTTAATTCTTAGTTAAAATATCTGACATCATATTTGGATTTTTTACCAGCTGTTCTTAAGTTATCGTTGTTCAGTATCATTGTGACTGTTTGAAACCGATTTCGTCTAACAATTTGTTGATGTGGGCTGCTTCTTTCGCTGCTGTAGAAAGCGCTATATAGTCAGCCTCTGTGCTAAGTGCTACCCCGCTCCACTTCCTAGATTTTCACGAAAAAACTGATCCAGCTGCTACAAAAACATACCCTGAATATGATTTACGATTACTGACGACTGACTGACCAACTGGCTTATAAGTGCGATGAAAATGCAACTTGTAGTCTGATGTCTTTTTCAAGTAACGAAGTACATGCTTAACTGCTGCTTCATGTTCTGCATGTGGATCCGTATTGCGCTATGATAATTTACATGCAGAATGTATTGTAATATAATATATCAGAACATGTTGATATTGCCAGGTACTTTAACGCTGCCACGACGGGTTTGGTACTCTGTCTTGTCGACTTTCTTACACGTCTCTTTACTGCATTGAGTGATGAAACCCGCATCCAATGGTGTTGCGGTCTGCAATCGGACATATCGTATTTTTTAAGGAACTTTAGTGCAGCATGTTTCACCGTCTCGTTCTATCTCCATACCAAGGAAATGCGTTATTTGACCACCATCAACCACTCGGAACTTCTTTGAAATTTTGATTTGTAATAGTTCGGACTTACATGATCTGGCAATGATGAGATCACCTACATATACTGCTATTATATTGCGTACCTCGCCATGATTATTGACGTAAATACATAGTTTACTAGGGCATGGTGAGCAACCAATGACTCGAAGAACAGCATCTAGCTTTGAGTTCCATTCGCGACCACTTTGTTTTTATCCGTACATGGATTTCTTCAGCTTTAAAACTATTTGGATAACTGATGTCTACAAAGCAATCTAATTGCTTCATATAAACCTCATCACATAAGTCACTGTTGAGATACGCCGTTGATACGTCCATTTGATGTATGTGGACGATGCTCTACTGCCAATGTGATTACCATCCGAATAATAGCGTACCTAACGAAAACGTTTCGTAGTAATTGACACCAAAACAGTGGCTGCACCCCTTAGTTTCTAAACAGGACTTAAAACCTTGTATGCTGCCGTCTTTGTTACCCTTTATAGTGAACTTGGGGGCCAATTGCCTTATCATCGTGTGGCAAATCAACCAGGTCCCACGTGTCATTTCTTACGGCATCAAACTCCATCTTGATCGATGCTTTCCACTCATTGGAATAGGAGCTGTCAAATGCCTCAACCACACTGTTTGGAGTTTCAATTAAATCTTCGTACATCAAGCGTAGTACCTTATACTGTTTTTGGGGACGTCCTCTGTTTCCGGTACGCAGATGTCTCGGTCGTTCATGACCAACTGTTACAGAATTTCGTTTATCGCTGCTGTCATCCCGACCGTGATGTCGAATCCGATTGCAGCAACTCCGCATCATCTATTTCGAAACATATTAGACTCGCTTCGTGCTCCCTACTAAAGTCAACATTTTCGATAAAAATAACGTTTCGACTGGCAATAACTGGCGATTCTCAGAGTCGAATAACCGATAAGCTTTGTCTTCTTCAGAATAACCAATCACGAAGTATTATTTTCCCTTTGGGCGAAATTTGTTCGTATGCCTTTTATCGAGAGCTATAGCCGAATATTTTTAAATGCGACACATTTGGTTTTGCGCCTGTCCATAGTTCGTGTGGCGTTTTGTCTACGAGTACTTTTTTCGCAGTTCTATTGCGTAGATATGCTGCCGTCATAATTGCCTTCGCGATATGTTCATGCCCGTTGCTGCTTCTTACAATGTTTTATAATACAACCTGTTTGTTTTTTAGACATTGCTTTGTAATTTTTAAACGCATCAAATACCGTGTCTTTCCTTTTTAGAAAGTATACTGTTCTATGACGCGACATATCATCTATGAACACACAATTAATAGGACCGCAAATGTCACTATGAACTATCTCAAGTAATGATTTCGCACGAGTTTCGGATGCTTGCGGAAACGGCTTTACACTTGTTTTATTTTTGGCGCATGTTTCACACGCAAACTCGGGTACTATTTTGCCGAATTTTAAACCGAATGCTGTTCGTTTGATTGACATATCTTTTAAACAATTGAAGTTAACATGTCCAAAACGATTGTGCCATTTAACTGCATTATTTAAGGCATCTTTTGTTGTGTTATAGCATTTACTTTGCATGCTTTTGTATAAAATTAAACCATTATTCTTGAACTCTTTCAACAGTGCGCATTTTTTCTTGATTTTTATTTCAACACAATTATTCTTAAATACCACTGAATGCCCATTTTTAACTGTTTTGCTCACAGGCACAAAATTATTATTAAAATCTGAGAGTGAGACACGAACACTGAACTTTGTTTTTTGCTTCTTTTATTCTTTTCACTTCAAATTCTTATTGCACTTGTTATTGTTGTTACGCGAACCGTTAGTGGCGCCTGCACTGTTTTTGTCTACTCGCTGCTCGTTTGAATTTGCATATGATCGATCTTCCATTAACACTTTGATAGCACTTTCTTCTATAGCGCACTGCTTTTTGCCCTCTTCTAGTAATTTAATTTTTAAAAAAGCGATCTCCATAGTGACGACGAAATTTTCAAACTTTTTTGATAAATTCGACAGCAAAATAAATACTGTAAGCTCATCAGTTATTACAACTTCTACTTCTCTGAGTTCTTCCACTAATTTAAAAAATTCAATTACGGCTAGCTTCACGCACAAAATCATAGACGCGAGTGCTTTTTCATTTTTATTGTCATACGCCATTTTTGTTGTTGTTCTAGCGTCATCTCCTCCGATTTCATTTCCGACCGCCGTCGGAGTGTATTAGCACGCTTTTCATTTAAACCCACCATGACGCGTAATTTGACTCGCCCAATTTCTTAGCTTGGAGTGCGTTTTTCCAAATTGAGAAGTTGGACGAGTCAAATTTTATCCTTTCATCTTTTATTCATCTTTAGGTAAATATGTACTTAATGACCCCCACTTCGTAGGGGGTTGGGGTTGTAAGGGGTGACACAATTAAGTGTCCGTTTTATGAATTCGAAGGAATTACCCGTCGGTCACCCCTTAAAAAAAGTTATGGAGGGTGGAATTACAAATATTTTTTTATTAATTAAAATGCACTGGCGGCCTTCGGCCGCGCTGTTTGAAGGATAAGGGGCTGTGTGAATAGTCAGAGTACAGAAATGAAACCCTGAATATTAGAAAAATATATTTTACTTCTCAATTTTTGAATATCATATAATTTGGGAACATGCTGTTTTCACGAAATTTTAACCCTTCATATAATATTTTTGAAGGGTGGCCGACGGCTAAATCCACTGAAATTGTATTTCACAGACTCCCTTCACATACCATCTGCAACCCCAACCCCCTCCGAAGTGGGGGTCATTAAGTACATAATTACCATTATGTTTTATGCACACACCGACACAGTTTTTGCAGCTAAGGAAAACGATTTGTTAAATTTTTATTTATGTCATAACCTATTGGTTTTAAACCGCATTTATTGAAATTTGAAATCAAAATGAATGATAAGGGATAAACTCACAAAGGAAGAGAGGTAACAAAATGAAAACAGTAATGAAGAGAAGTGTTGCCACACAATTAGTAATTCATATATTTCATTTACAGTGAAATAATAATACAATTAATTTTCAATGTGTACAAAGGAGCACTGAATCTTATGTTTACACAAAAGAAGAAACGAGAAGTAATTTGTCAGTAAAAAGCTCTTATTTTTAAAATAATCAGTTTGATTTTGTATTTCAGGTTCAAATGGGTGCAACAATCGACCGAATTCTCGTAATTCTTTGAACAGTCGTCTCTCTAGTTCACATAATTCATTAAGCACTTCAACTGCAAATAAACCGGACGATTCGATATTCATTACTCAAGCAATGTCCCACGATGCATTACTTACTCGGGAAATATCTGATTTTTATAACGTGCCCATAGATTCAGATATATACGCTCTACCAATAGATATGATAAAAACGGATAAAATTAGCAGAGTTGAGTACAAAGAAGATAAGCTAACGGATTATAGAAAAATAAATAATTTAATTTTCACCGAGGAAGACTATTGTAAGCATTCTAAACTAAGTCGTAAAAATAATAGAAACAAACGTAAAAAACGCAACAGTGATACTTACGAAAATGATATAAGATATGATAATTACAAGTTCACTTCAAATGCTTACAAATTAAAAAATAAAAAGGCAGCTTTTTTGAATGAAAATGAGGATTATGGCACGCATAGATTATCCAATACTCAACTAGATTTGAATCCATCTCAAGAACGACTCCACATGACTTTGAGTGAAGTAAAAAAATATTATCAAACTATTTATACTAGAACAAAAAACCGGACCAATATTAATAATGAAGCTGATAAAACTGCTTTCAAAAAACAGTCCGAATACACGAAAGGTAATGATTCATCCCCACGTTCTAGACTTAACCTTTGCTCTATCGGAGAAAATGTTTCTACAGAATGTAAAGTAACCACGAGAACTTTCAAAAGCTATAACGAAAATAATGATAAAATCAACAATAACAGCATAAATAACATCGTGCTGGCCAATAATTATAGTATTACCGAAAACCAAATTATAAAAGTTGATGATGTGGATTTATCTTCTCAAGTCATACGAAGCGAGAAGAAAACACAATTTTCACTAAATTTAAAACAAAAGTTTTGTAATATATTTCGTATTCGACGTACACAACCACAATGTCAAACAAACCAGTCCGGTATTGAAGAAAATAATAGTATTCGCGAACGAAGAAGCACTGCAGAAAAACAGAAAAAATTTCAATCTAGAGCATTGCCTCCATTACCCAAGAAGAGTAAGTATAATAAACAAAAAATATAAATTTATATATTTTTAATATCAGCCAATACCAACCATCAACAAAGTTATCGAATTGAATAAGCGCTAAATGTTACCAAGATTGGTTTTAAACATTTTAGACCAATATGAAAAATTACTCCCAAAAATTAAAATATAAAATGTTTTTGATTGATTGAAAATTAAGACTTTAACTAAATTATAATTCTTTATAGAAAACGCAAGACTCGAAACTAAGAGGTTAAAAATATTTTTCTTTATATAGTGCATTTGTCAAAAAGAATTTACGTTCTACGAATTTATTTAAGCTTAAGCTCTATGTATAAAACAAACCTATCTGTTATTAAATTTCTTTGGGCATGATTTAACTTGTCATAATGGTAAATTTTGTTTGACTCACCTCTTTGGTAGTTTTAATATCACAAGACTGTGTTGAATATTGATAATGTGCTTGTATTACCACTGCTTACAAATAAAAGTCAGACAAGTTTCTGTATGCCGAAAGTAGTTTTCAACGAATGTATTGTATGTATTAGGCATAATGTTGTCATTAATAAACAATTTGTTAAATGTATACTATACAAATTTTTCAAATATGGTTTTAATTTAAACTATTACAAATTTAATTATAAGATATCGCGATTATTATTCGTTTATTCCTTAAGATATGATTATGAGTTTATGATAAGATATTTAAATAATTTTTCGATTGATTTGCATTAAATTGTATATAATATATCTGTTTTCAAGTCTTTAAACTCTTTATATATTGCTTACTAAATATAACGAAACTTACATATCGCTAATAAATAAACAAAGGCATCAATAGTTTTTAAATAAAGATTTATAATTTTTTTTTATGGAAAAACTCTTATATTTTTGGTGACTGGTAATGTAAATTTACCAGAACGTTATCCATTGCATAACACGACGTTAGTAAATTTCTGATATAAAAAATGATCTGAACTCATGGAATCTCTATTCTGATTTCCAAATATAAATATTTGCATCTAGGGAAAATATTAAATGGTGTAATGTATTCTCGCAAAATTGATCTGCGTATTATAAAAGATTTTAAGAAGTAGTATTTAATAAGAGCTTGCAATTAACATTTATTATTGTATATACAGCATGAGCCCTTATAAGTGTCGCACTTATTTGAAGCTTCGTTAGGCTGAGATACTGCTGGATTCAAAAAGAGAGCTGGTGAAAAAGTTACATTTGCAAGAAAAAAAACAAGTGAAATTTTTAAGATCCTCCAGGAAAAATTGTGCAATTTCTGGAAGGAAACTGGCTAAGGACTTCGGCGTGAGCCAAAAAACCATCAGAAACATTATTTATAAAAATTTGAGAATGAAGGCTTATAAGAAAAAACAAATGAGCACTCAAATTGTGAGAATTGTTTTCTGATGAGAAGCTTTTTGTACTACAGGCAAGCCACAACTCACAAAATGGCCGTGTTTATGCAACCAGTACGTCTGAAAGATATCAAAACACAACCTGTGTTATGGTTTGGGGAGCCAGATCTACAAAAGGAGAACCCTCTTTCCTTTTCATTGACAAGGGCGTAAAAATTTACCCGAAATATTATTTGGAGGAAGTGCTTGTTTAACACTTCTCTGCTCATGTATCCAGTCTGTTTTGCAATAATCATAAAGCAAGAATTGCTGAGCAGTGGTAGCAAGACAATATGGCCTGTTTCATTTCAGTGGATGAATGTCCCCCTTCTTCTCCGGATTTGAATCCTTTGGATATTTGTATATGGGGATATATAATGGGTTAAAAAATTTAAGAAACTTAAAACTAGATCAATTTAAGCGCCGTTTGCACAGAATTCGGGACGAAATTCCAAACCCGTGTGAAGCTTTTAAAAGCTATGAAACGCAAACAATTTGAATTAAAACAGACATAATGCAAGTCTAAAGTTGAACTAATAAATAAAACAAGTTTTCATCCTAACATTTACATACGTTTGTTATTTTTTGCGGAAAACTAGGTGCGACGCTGTTTTGCCCAAGAAAATAGCGAAGCTCATTTATCAATGAGAAAACAGCATACATTAAATTTCATTATATATCTTTACCTTCTTACCCAAAGTTTAAAATATTTCAAAGGTAAGAGAAAATGTGTGTTAAAACAGCATAATTGAAACAAAAAAAGACAGAATTCACTAAGAATTAAATTTTTAATCGTTAACTTATATGTTATAGCCTTTGTTCCGGATAACATCTTTGATATCATCACATCTTTACGACATGGCGTCTATTAAAATCATGCACCTATCACCATCAACCTGATTGATTGTCTCTCTAAATTTTATAAAAAGTCTTTTTAGTCCTTTTTTTTTAAACATGTTGCTCAATAACCCCTCATACACTTTCGATGGGGTTCAAGTTAAGGAATGCAACAGTCCTCTCTCTTTGATCAATACAGTTGTGTCTAGAGAAATCCTTTACACTCCTTCTTGTATATTTTGAGTAATTTCTTCTTGAAAGGCAATGTTTGTGAAATTTCTTCCGCTGTATTCACCTATTCTATTATATATATTTAAGCTGGCCCGTAATACTTCAAATGTAGGGCATCTACCACGTTATGGAAAACTGTGCCTAACCATTACTTAAGGTCCTTCTTTTATGAGAGAGAAACGCCAGTTTGAAGATTAGATTTTAATACTGGCAACGTTTCTAACTAAAAATAGAAAAAAAAACGAATTAGTTCGCTATTTTGACGTTGATCATTTTATGTATTTAAAAGTAGTAAATTCTTGTGGGCTGCTGGCTTTTAAATTTGAATCAAAATAATGTCTTCTGAGCGTTCCTATTCTCATAGTCAAGCTAACTAATTTAATTAATTTTAATTTAATCGTGTGCACATCCTTTTGTGCCATATGTTTTCAGTTGTTTTCTAATTTTTTGGCAACTAGACTATATTTACAGCAAAACATTATGTTAATGCTAAAAACACAATTTTAATTGAAAATTGCTATTATAAATTGAAGCATATCCCAACCCGCAATGCTAATAATATGAAAACTGTATATATGTGTATTATATATGAATATATGTATATTTTATTAGTACGAGTAATAACTTGCGATCGTTTCAAGTGCATTTACGAGAATATCAGTGTTACTAAGACGTAAATTTTTATTTTTCATTGTACTTTTTTAGCCGAGTCTTATATAGAGCAATGCAGAGGAAACTCCACCAAAAAAGAGGAAGCAAGGTCTCTTCAATTTACTTCTAGCATTGAGAAAGTTAAGAATGTAAGATGTAAACATATTTTTGTTTAGTTTTTTAATACATGTTTTATAATCACTACCTTTTACAAAAAGTATGGATGGTACTGGGGTCCATTATCAAGTGAGGCAGCGGAGAAAGTCCTTTCAACGGAATCAGATGGAAGCTTCATTGTACGTGACAGCTCTGACGATCATTACATTTTTTCCCTAAGTTTTAAACTAAATAATAGTGTTCGTCATGTTCGAATAGAACAGGATCAAGGTAATTGTTTGCACTGAAATTAATTTTTTTTTAGTTTAAACTAAAGAACTACAAAAGCGAATACATAAACTAAGTTAATTTTTTTTAAATTTTTTTCTCGATTAACATGATTTCACGTTTAAATAAATATTGCAAACAGTGAAAATTATCGGAACAGTTTCTTAGGTTTAACATCGCAACATAGAGTTGCTAATATAGCTGCAACGAGAGCTACAAACGAATTTGCCGACAAAAAATACTTTTTGAATAACTTTCATGTTGTGGATCCAATAGCGATAAAATTTGCAACACTCATGTAAACCAGGGCATATATACTGTGTGTGAAATTTCGTTGGGGCAGAAAGGGGGCGTGGCAATACCATAACATAAATTTGATCCTTGAGATGTGTTCTAAAGGAACCTGCAACAAAGTTAGCAAAAACCTTCATACGAAACCTGTTATCTAAAAATTAGTCTTATTTTGGGCAAAAAAATACAAAATACAATTAATGATTAGTTCTTTGTTCAATAATAATAATTATTCATGATTTATTAAAAAAATTAATCAAAATTATCCATTATCGGTGAAGAAAATAATAAATATCAGAAATTGAAAAATCATCATGGATCTTTGCATCATCGAAAAAAGATTAACATGACGTTACCTGTTTTTTTTTTGGTATGTCGATTCTAAGTATTTGATTCATTTAAAAATCGCAACATTAATCATTATTTACGGTCCCTGAAAATAAAACATAATAAAATGGAAAACAATAACGTTCATTGAAGTTTAAATTACTTTAAATACAATATATTCAATTAATTTCTACGTTTGCTCTGAAATTCGTAGATTCCTGTGCGTTAAATGCTACAGTTTTTCAATTTGATTAAATTTAAGGGATATGAAAATTTTTTTTATATCAACTTAAAAAATGCAGCGTTTAGGCACAGTTAGTACAATTATTAATATACATAAGCTGACACATCAACAGGCAATGTAAACTCTTAAAAAATATATCACAACAAACAAGTATTGGAAAATGTAGAGAAAGTATTTAAAGAGCGACGATTTTTTTTCATCAATTTTGATAATTTATTTGCTTAGAAACATTTATAAATAAATAAAAAGTATAGTATTAATATTTTCCTAAAGTTATTCAATGTATACAAACTCGAAAAATTGCATAACAATGTAGGCAACTGCTCATTAGCAGATCAATATTTCCTAACAGCAATTATTCTCGCACTGTAATAAATAGCAGTGCTAAATAGTTTTGTTTATTTTGCGAACATGAGTCATATGATTTGAGTCCGCTAAACAGCTTTTTGTCAGCTGATAATCTTGCTACGTCTAACCAGTTGGAATAACTTATTCAGCGGGTTAATGCCGACAATGCTGGAAAAAATTCTACAAAATTGGAACAAAAACAGTGTTTTATATAACAAATCATAAGTGCCCGAAATTATTTTCAAACACTGTATTAATAAGCAATTAAATTAAATTTGTGCTTCGAATTCGTGAGAAGTATGCAGTCCCTTTTAGATTGCTTTCAATTTATCTTCTCAAGTTTTAAGCATATTTGCTATTTGCTAATAAATCTATTTTGCTATTACTGATGTGCTTTTTTTATATTTTTCGGCAAGAAAAAACAAATTTTACTAATTTATTATATTATTATTTTTATTTGCTCCAAATATATTGCCCAAATTATTTTAATTTTATTTACCTGTTTGTTTGGCACACCAAAAACCAATTGGTATAGATATTACTATGTCAGAAGATCATAATGACTTTTACCCATGGCAGCTATAACTTGGTTGAACCTTAATAAAACTTTGCACATGTGTTGCTGGGATCGCAAATGGCCGAAGTCGGGCTCTGGGCACGCTCATAAAATGCCATTAAGCTAAACATTTGACTGCCATAAACAAAACTCCAATTATGTATAAGGCATAACAGCAAGGAATGGCAGCTTTTATACAAAGTTTTGGAAAAATATTCATGTACATTAACGTTGGGCACCAATTTTGTATAAGGCATCGCAGTAGGGAAGGGCAGCTTTTTATACAAAATTTTGGAAAAGTATTCGTGTACATTAACGTTGGTCACCACTAGATGAAAAACATTTCGCAGTTGTCTGCTTCCTGTCATGGTATTGACAACTAAATAAAAATAATCAGACAACGTGAAATTAAAATTTATAGTTATTTCTGCCAAATTCGGTACTTACTTATTTTGCATTTGATTAACTTTCATTATTATTATTCCAATAAAATAACCGTGGTTGTTATGATATAATATAAAAGTTTCACGACTTTTCAATGTGCTCCTCTACTTCTTCCATATATTTTCAGGGACGTTTTCATTTGGCTCATATGCAAAATTCAAATCGCAGACTATCACAGAATTCATCGAAAAGGCAGTCGAGCATTCAAGAAGTGGAAGGTTGGAAGACAATACTCAAAAATCAAAATTGTTGTTAATAATTTAATTAATATGGTAACGTTCTATTTTAGGTACTTATTTTTCCTTCATAGAAGACCAGAGCATGGCCCAATGAGAGTGCAGCTAACAAACCCAGTTTCAAGATTTAAGCACGTCCAAAGTTTGCAGCATATGTGCAGGTATGTTACATAATTTCTTATTGTTTTAACCAAAATAAAAACATTCTTATCTTTATTTCAAATTTCAGATTTGTGATCTTAAAAACTGTTATACGTAAAGACTTGATACAAACGCTGCCGTTACCGCGAAGGCTTTTAGACTATCTTAATTATAGGCATTATTTCTCTGAACAAATTGAAATAGATAGTTCACACGTTCAGGTAAATATTTAATCACAGGCAATGAAGATCCAAATGCCTCAAACCCTAGCAAGAATATTAGGAAGACCGCGAAACAAGTAGAGAAAACTCTTCAAACAAACGTCGTCGAAGTATTTTTGAAAAAAAAAACATTAACTGAAATAAAGTAATAATATTAAAAATAAAACTAATAATATTTTAAACGTCAACTACATCTTGTTAATTTGCTTCGGTCAAGTTTATTTCCTTTTATGAACCAAAGGCTGCTTCTTAATTTATTTCCTTTCCCTGTTTCATGCTACTCAGAAATAGTTTAAAAGACACTATGGTAGATACTTTATACAGTGTACAACATCAAATAATAATATCCTAATATTAAGGGTCGAGCACGCGTTACTGTTGTATATATCAAATTATATTTATTTATTAGTTAGTTAGTAGTTAAAATAAAAATTTTATTTACGAATAAAGGCGAAAACGTTATAGCAGGTATAAACACAAGGGATTGAGATTTGAATTTGAAGTCAAAATGTTAAAAAGATGGATAAATATTTTCAGAGACGAGAAAACATGGATTTCTCAAATTTAAACTCCTAATGGACAATTTTAGTTTTGAGACAAATCGGAACACCCTTCGAAAGGATACCGTAGATAATGACAGCATGCGTCAAGTAATTCCTACGACAGCCGTTGTAAGTAAGCATTGGACTACGGTAAAGACATTGTTGAATCCGAGAAGTTTACACTGCAACCTTCGTCAGACAAGGCTAAACAATATGTTATCCAACGACACCGATGAAAAGGTGCGGAGTGTCATCAATAAGGCTAAATCATTCAAGTCCATTGACCCAGATGGAATAAACATGTTGGTGCTAAAGCACCTAGACTTGACGTGAGTAAGGTCCGACCAAGGTCTTCAACCTACCGCTGACTACTCTTCAAATAGCCGATGTGTGGAAAGTCGTAAGAGTGGTCTCACTACTGAAACCTGAGAAACCCGCCAACAGAGTGGAGTATTATCATCCGGTAACTCTCCTTTACCCAATAGTGAAGACTCTTGAGACCTTGTTCACTCGCCACCTGGATTTAGCAAACTATCAACATGGCGTCCACAAAGTGCACAGCACCCTCACAGCACTTAGAATAGTTCATAGCCTAAATCAAAATCCATGTGAGGACGATCCTCGGAGCGTTGAACTTGTCAAAAGCTTTTGACGAAGTCAATCATACAACGCTGCTTGACATAGATTCACGTTGACTCCAGGGTTGAAGAGGTGAACCATAAACTACCTGAGCGGACGCTAACTTCGACATCAAAGCTCTAAATTAAGAAGAAATGGGATACATTTCGAAACTCCCTCACCATCAGAAAGAATTTGCATCACCTTGTACGGTGATGATTGCTCGAAAGTAAATAGTTATATCTCCGACCTTTCTCGTTTCTTCTCTGCAGAAAGCTAGAGATTCCCCAACACTAAATCCTCAGCTACCATATTCATAAACTGGACCAAGGAGTACAGACTGTATCTTAACATTGCAGTCGATGGCGTTAAAATTCCGACTGTCAATTACCCTAAGATTTCAGGTGTAATGTAATGAGATCCTCTCCAAGCTGTTTCTGCTGGGATGTTTTCGCAGAAACCTTCTTTGTAGTCGTCTACTTGGAGTCAAATATATGTTCAGCGTGTAATGATTCCCCGAATGACTGATCACCTCTTTGCATGCCTTTCAAACCCCATTCATTTTATACCTTTCAACCCATGGTCCGACCCTGTCGAAACAGCACGTTTCCTGAGCCTACCGTTATATAAATTGGTAAAAGGAGTAGTATCTCCTTTCAACATTCCAATCAAAATATTTGCTTCAAGAATATTTATGGTGATCTTACCAAACTATTATTGAGATTTTTGGCTACCCTGCAGATAGTCCGCTATTTGCTTTATGGTGTTAATTAAGGTCAGACACATGAAAAAATTTCTATATTACATAATTTTGTTTTTCCGCTAAATTAGGCCCCTATTACTGTTTTTAACCACACTGCATTTTGGTTGAAGTTTTGAAGTTCGGTATTATAAATATATCTATTCAACCCGCCAAAAGAATTCGATTGAAGTGTTGTCAAACTTCAACTTTTTTGTGGAATCACGGTTTTCAACTCTGCCAGTGGAGTTGAGTAGAGTAACAAAAAATGTCCATTGCTACCAAGCAGTTGTAGTTGAACATTACTGCGTTTATTTAGGAAAAACATTAATACCAAACGGAAAACGAGTAAAAAAAATCAATTTTATTTATAATTTAATCAGTTATTATGTTGAAATTCTTGGAAAAGGGAAAAAGTTGCTGAACTTCTGGAGAAAACCCACGAACCTAACAAAAGGAAAGCTACAATTTGGAAACAATAAAAATAAAATTAAATAAAACTATGGGAAGTGTTTCGAACATTTTCGATACAATCTATATACTAGAAATATAATTTTTGAGTAAAAATTAAATTTTTGAAGCGTTTTGCTCCTCTTCAGTAATTTGTATTTTATCCACAGCGTACAAATACGGTGTTCATAATATTAAAAACCTCTTTAACAGTCATAGATATCGTAGTTCGCTCCAGCCCAAAGTTGAAGTTATTTAAAATGCATTCCGGCAGCAAGAAAACGGAAAGTTTGTGTTAATGTTTCTTCATCTCATTTAGAAAAAAATTTAATAATTTCTCATTTAATCGAAAATAACTTGTGAATCTGCAACAAACATTATTTAAAAGCAATTTAATTGTCAATAAAACTTTGGTTCACTTAATGTTAGAGAGTTTCAATGGAATGGATTTGAGTGATCACGGAAGCTTTTTCTTATTCGCAGCCCATCAGTTTTGGCCCAGCATTTTTCTCATCGTTAAATAAATCAAAACTTATGTCCATTTTAATAATTTATCACTTTTTCTGAATTTAATTGTTTTTTATTTTTCGTTTGAAAATTGGCAGCTGTTAATTATCTGTCAAATTTTATTTTTAGGTTTAACACCAACGAAACTTCGACTGAAAATAGTTGAAGTTCGTGATATCAAAAAGAGTTGTGATCTGAAGTAAAATTGCTTCAATTATCAGTTGAGTGGACTAACTTAATAGGACAATTATTTTAATTTGTAAAAGTAAAACATAGAATCAATAAATAAGGTTTGGAATTGACTTGACGAAAAATTAATTATTTAATTAATTTGAAAAGTAATGCCTTGTTGTGTTGATCTAGTTTCAGCTGAAGCTCTTTGAGGTGACTATCACTATTCCTTGGAGATTCATCTAAAATTTTACTGATCGATAATCTCGTTCCGATTGTTGGCGGCCTCAGGAGAGTTTTATTGTAGATATTTCCCTTGTCAGGAAAGAAGTTAATTGTTCATAAAAATCCCTTCTATCACGGCACTGGCTTTTCTTCAAAAATCTACCGAACGGTTTTGATCACAGTCCTCCTATCCTCATACAGACTGGTTTTGAATAGTGCCACGATCTGGGCATTTATGACAATAAGTACTGCAGGTGCTGTGCACTTTCGGAATTCACAGTGGTAGTCTGCTAGACTCAGAGATCAGAATGATTGTCGGAAGTAACACGGCCAGCGGTTTGTAATGGGATAAGAAAAGTTATACGACGATAAGGTTCCCTAGGTTGGCGAGTTTCAGCAGTCTTCCGAGTTTCTTCATTCGTTTATGAGGAGAGTGGTCAGCGACAGATTTAGAACCTTGGATAGATATTTTACTCTTAGCGAGCATGTTAATGGCGTTCAACCGATGAATTTAGACGACTTCCAATTGTTGACAACCTTAAACCTCCACGTCGGTGCGAAATCTTTTGGCAATTTTGCAGCCGCCAGGAACACGTCTTTTGACCTTATTCATCGAAGGAAGCATTGTAGATTGGGGCTAAAAGTCTCTTCGGACTCAGGAGGCATAGCCATCGAATGAGTTTCAACCCGGTAGTCATAACTTACACCGGTGGAAAGGTTGCAATACTTCAAGGATCCACCCATCTTGTTTGCTTATGCGATTTACCACTTGAGCTCCCTAACGCAGGAACACCTGAAATCTTCCAGCCGGAGCGAAGCGAGCGGAATTGACGTTCGACAACGACTATGTCTTTTATTTTTAGGGATAACGAGTTTGGAAGGTGCTCAGTAACTTCTACGAACCGATCAAGCTCGCTTTGTTAAGGTTAACAAAGGAGCTGTTGTCAACAGTCGTCAGGTTTTGCTCATTCTGGCCACTGCCAACGATGCTAAAGGCAGGCAGGTATTATGGGCACCATTCTGGTGGAGCTTCGTTATTCATTGCAGATAATGTCGAATGGTTATGTTCCGCCATTCGATCTGTTCTTGTTTGGACACCATTGTGAGGTGCTGCGGGGATAGATTTAGGCAACCTGGAATTAGCGTATAGTTCTCGTACGAGAATTGAGCGGAATAAAGGTGGGAGAGGTCTGACATACTGGGGTCATGCTGTCTAATTGAGCACCTGAGGACCGTAGAGGTTCTTTGTTGGCCAATCATTACGAGATATTGCGTAGTGCGCGAATTAAGCAATGCAATAAAGTAGAGGCGGGGATCGTAGGTGTTAGCAATATAGTCACATAACTAGTGGTCCACTCCTTATGTTTCTTAAGGCCGGAACATGTATCTGCAAGGGTGGCCCCAAGGATAACAAATTTAATATATAACGATTCCAACAGGGTTAGATCGACAAAATTAAGTCCTTGGCCGGATAAAATGCGGGTCAATTCCAGTAATGTATAGCTGTTTGTTGTGGAGATTGATTGCAGTTCTATAATAGCAAGCATAAATAGAAGCATTCACGTTGTTGATGATGGTTTAAAGTTGTCCTAAACTATTAGCTTTGAATATGCCTGTAATGAAATTACGTGGTTTTTGAATACTTACTCAATCCAGCCGCTAAATTACCTTATGCTGGTAAATAAAAAGATCATTTATAACAAATATTGCGACTATAAAGAGATATAAACTTTCCTATCTCTAAAGTTGGATCAAACATTGTCAGTTGTCAAAATTTAAAAACCCACGGTTAGGGATCCCATTTTAATTGTAATTTGGTTGAAGTTTAAAAACGATATCAACTCAATCCGTCAGAAATATTTTCGAACTTAAACTTTTTGTGGTATTACGGTTTTCAACACTGTGCCGGTGCGGGTGATCAAAAATTAAAAAACTAAAAGATTAGTGGAGTTTATTTCGGAAAATAATAATAGAAACTATTCAAATTAATTTTCAACTATTTTTAATACTATTTTTAAGTCGCTATCGATTAAATTAACTACATATTACAATATATTACTTTGCGTATTTGTTGTTTTAGATGACACTCAGCACTTTCCATTTTGCTGGTGTATCGTCAAATAACGTAATTTGGGTATACGGCTGAAATAATCATTAAGATCTCCAAAAACCAAAATGCACTCTCTAACAGTATTCCTTACAACCAACAGGCGCGCGGCGCAAAGAAGGTTAAGAAATGGCTGATTTTGGAGCACACCACATTGCGAAAGGTAACGCCCAGCACTGCTATTTATACGCAGAGGACTCTCATCTGGAGGAACAAGAATTCGTGCATATCTAGTATGAGATGAGAATCAAGAATTCGAAAATATCTACTATGAGATGCCCGACTTCAATCCAACATGCACTTCGTCCTGGTTGCTCTGTATCGAATTGAAATATTCATTGTTGTGCATAGAGTATGTCGTCTAGAACATTCTGCCAACTACGAATTCGCTGTCTATTTGCTTCTGGCAATTTATCGTCGGTTCGATTTTGTTCTATCATCCATGTTCGTCACAATATATATATATACTTTATTTACTGGAATTTTTTATCAAACATTTTTTCTTCGGGTTTATTTTAGTACAAAATTAAAAAAAAGCTACGAATTCGCTGTCTAGTTGCTTCTGGCAATTTATCGTCGGTTTGATTTTGTTCTATCATTCATGTTCGTCACAATACTTTATTTACTGGAATTTTTTATCAAACATTTTTTCTTCTGGTTTATTTTAGTACAAAATTAAAGGTGGAAAATTTCTTCATCTTAACCTTAGAAAATGTCATAAGCTGAAATTTTAACATTGTGTTTGGTTACCTTAATATACGTAACCCCTTTTAATCACGGGATGCAAAACAAAGATTCTATGTTAAAATTTCAGTACAATTTGTGATATTGCTTAACATGAAGACCGAGGTAACCACCGTAGAAGTTAAGTAGCATGTTAAATACTGTACTTTTTATAACAACTGTGTAGAAACTCGCCCGCTTTCATTTTTACAATATAATACTATGTTCGCACCAAAAAACCTCTTTTGTCTATGAAAACACGAATTTTGTGTCGGTGCGAACATAGTATAAAATGGTGGTATCGAAGTGCAGCGTGAGCATTCAATCGAATTTTGCAAATATCTAAAGTGAACAAAAAGATTTAGAAATAATTTTTTTTTTTTTTGCATTTGTTAAATTATCTATATTTACCCACCGCTGAGGTAGTTCAAAGTCCACCGCTTCAGCCCTGGAGGGAGCGTGGATTGTTCTATGTCCTCAAGTAGCGTTGTTTGGTTGACTGTGGCAAAAGCTTTTGACAGGTCCAACGCTCTCGAAGGGTGGCTTCTGGTTTAGGCAATGAACTATCTGGGCGCTTATGACGCTAAGTGCTGTCCACTTTTCGAAAGCCATGCTGATTATCTCAAGTGTCTTCACTACTGGGGAAAGAAGAGTTATCGGACGATAAGACTCCCTTTTGTTGACGAGTTTCCCAGGTTTCAGTGGTGGGACCAGAGTGGTCCGACTTTCCACACATCGGGTATTTGAAGAGTGATCATCGACAAGTGGAGGCCCTTGGTGAGGTAGCTTACTCCCGTCGAGCCTAAATGTTTTAGCATCAGCATGCTTATTCCGTCAGGGCCAATGAATTTGGACGATTTGGCCTTTTTATTGGCACTCTGAACCTCCCTATCGGTGAAAGTAAGTGGTGCGCAGCCTTTTGACATTATGGGCAGCCGGCGGTCATGTTTCTTCGGATTAGACAAGGCTTTGACAGTAGTCCAAAGCTTACTCACACCGTTGGAGAGATTGCAGGACTTAAAATGCTCATTTTGTCCATTTATGTTGATTTACCGAACCTCCAAATTGAGATCCCTTATCCCAACGATGACGTCCTTAGGAACTGCGTTGAGGGTGTGAAGCCGACCCAGTTAGTTTTGTTAAAGTTAACAAAGGTGCGGTTGTCCACAAAATAAAAGTCGGGATGTTTCTCGATCGAGATTATTATGGGCAGATGGTCTGATGCGAGAGTTAGCATAGGCCGCCAGGTTATGCAATTTATCATACCACCGCTAGAGATGGTAATATTTGGCAAGCTACTACAGGCGACCATAATTCTGGTGGCAGCTTCGTCATTTATTGTGCAGAATGTCGAATCGTCAATCTGTTCCGCCAGCTCCATCCCCCTACGATCGTTTGACAGGCAGGAGTGCCAAGTTTGTGGTGCGCGTTAAGGTCACCAAACGGTTTTCACCACTAAGCAGCGCACCTATGTTCGGGTGATATCCTGTTGGGCAACATGTAACTGAGGGGAAGTAAATATTACATATCTAGAACCCGACCTCGCCTGACCGCACAGCTATATCCTGATATTCAAGGGTTGTGTCGCTGCGGTCGATGTAAACATCGATTAGATGATATTGCACGGTGTTGTGCAGTATGAAGGCTAGACCTCCACCATTACCTCGCTCGCGATCCTCACGTAAAACGTTGAAACCTGCACAGCTCAGAAGATCTGAGCGGCTGTTTAACTTTATTTCTTGAACCGCAGCTATCGATGCGCGTTCCCGGCTTATAAATGCAACTATCTCTTCGATCTTACTCTGGAGTCCGTTGCAGTTAAATTGTAGAATTCACGTTTGTCTTAGGTGTCCGGTGGTAATCCTAGGGGTGAAGGTGGTGAATGTTGCAGCTGTAATACCCGTATGGGCGATTCTCGCACTGTGGTGTTGTTTGGCGACGCTACTATACGGGATTGTGCGGGTAGACTACTACAGCACGGGGCAACATACGACGCACTCCACTCACCAGCACAATAATTGCACTTGACTGATGTGACGTTCCGGCGTATTACCGGCTGACACATGAAACAGACTGTGCGAGGAACCAAGAGTTGCTGAGTGAGAGGAGGTTAGTCAGACTGGAAGTCAAGCTGCCTGTGTGAGCTACTTACCTTTCTTGGTCACTCGACTGGACTGGCGGCGCAGTGCGTGAAAGTGGTGCAGGTTGCACAGCCGTCGAGGCAGGTGTCGCAGTAGTACGTTGGCAGCATGAGGCCACGTAACTCTTGGTCCACTCCCTGTGGGTTTTAAGGCCTGAGCAGGTCTTAAGATAGCTCCATCCATTCCATGTGTTGCACCTAACCGAGGTAAAGTTTGGATGGATTGCGGTAACGTAGAATTGGCTGTTGTGGGAATTGACACTCTAGTCAACGCCACTGGCACACAGTTGAAAACCATAATACCAAATGTCAAAACTTCAATAGAATGCAGTTGGGTTGAAAACCGTAACAAAGGCCTATATCTCTTTCCGAGCTAGCCCTGGTCAAACAGGCTCCTCTCGTTTTGTTGGTTTTTGACATTTCACACGCTGGTCCCTAATTGAACCTTTTCTATAATCTACGATCTCTGTACTGGCGCCTATCTAATATAACATAAGGATCATTTAATGCCTCTTCAGTAAATACTTCTGCAAGGACTTGAATATGTTGGATAAAATAATTCGATATTATAAGATATGATTCGAATCAAGAATGTTGTAATTATTTAAGTATGTTCCGTAAAGCCCCTCAAACGTTGATAGGTATTATTGATTACAAAATAAACTTAGAAGCTGAAAGCAAAGAACAAATTAAGATTTTATATTTAAATATACTTTATACAGTCGTCTTTATTCAGTTTATATGTACCTATGTTTATTGTGATAAACATATGCAAATCGTTTCAGAGTGTCCTGTACGAATGTACACGTTAGGAATTGTATTAGTATATACGACTAAAAATATCATCGATATTATTTTATTGTTGTTGTTGAACTTGTAATGTTTATGTAACAGCAGTATCCCATAGCAGTATATCATAGTCCACCGATAAATTCGCGTTAATCAATAAAATTTGTAGAAAATGTGATGTTCAAATTTCTGGTGGCAACATTCTGCATTTTTATTACTGAAATTATCTAATTAACAAGCTTGTAGAATTGTTCAAAGCCTAGTTCTTTATGACATGATAGAAATTACAGCCAGTTGATTTGACATTATGAAGCATTGTTGCTTTTAGCATACATACAGCTAGAGGGCGCATTTTTTCAAAAGGAAATAGAATGGATCATATAAGAAAACTCCATGAATTAATCTTAATATTATATTCGGATCTATAGAATCAATAGCTTGTTGGTATAGCATCCATTACAAGTATGATAGCATTTTTCTGTTCCGAACTCAATTCTGAAGATAAAATTAATAAATCATTTAGGTATGTCGAACAAGATAATAAAGGGGCAGCAGATCCCGGTATCAATCGTCTTAATACTCTTATCCAAGTATTTTTTACGACTTCTAATTTGTTTAATAGTACACGCGAAAGTACAATAATATCTTGCAAATTTGCTAGTTTTATAATGTGACAAATTAAAAAGCACATTTGCTCTTGTAATTGATCTCTATGATTATATTCGTAAAAATTTATTAAATTATTCGATTGTTCAATAGCTTCTAATAACGCGCTCCAAATATTTGAATAGTGCTCTCCAAAATACGCTCGTTTCTTAATGTGTATTAAAGCAGCCGTTGCATTTATTTTTACTTTATAATTTGGGTGATTATAAATGACGTGACAAAGAGCAGAAAAGAGCGACAGTTCCCAAGTTAAATCTTTGTATCTACTTGAATACAGAAATATCTTTTCATTTTGTAGCAAATTTCCCACGGCATAACATGAATTCCATTTGACTTTTGCCGTCCCAGAAGCACGAATACCATCAATTAGTTTACTAATAGCACTTTTTATAACAGTTCTATCCGAAATACGATGAAAATGCCTTTCCGTCAGTAAACGCAATAAATTACCCAAAGTACGAACTGCATTACATCGAACTTTATCACAATCGTTGCAAGCTTCAGTTGAGTACTGAATTAATCTCCATAATATTTCGTCCGAAATCCGTTCAGTTGTGTTATCGGATATATTTTCTAACAAAGCATCGCTAACATTTCCCATAGACCAAATTACTTTGATACGTACAATCATATTTCCTTCTCCAGCAAATCGTAATATTAATTCGGCAGTGTTCTCAATAAAAACCAAATTCATGCGCATTGTAGGAAAAGTGACGAAGACTGACAATGCCCGGACAACAGTCGCTCGAACTAAAACATCCTCTAAAGAATCACAGCTTAAACCTGATAAAAAACTTAGTATATTAATTCGAATAGGTTCTGGTAAACTTTCGAAAATAATGGCGCCGATATTTGATATTGCGTCGCATAAGGCAATTTTTACTGCAGTAGATTCCTTTTCTCTACTCATTTGATGAGTAATGATCGGCAACATGCGAATCCAGAAGCACTTAAAAGAGCATATATTATCGTTGTTATAATTTTTTTGTAAAAACAAACTTATTTGATAAACACAAGCGTCTATACATTTTGATCCACACAAACGAATTTCCAGCTGTCCATCATGTATGCTATCCTTCAAGACAAACGTTAATTTTTCCAAATTATCCTTCAAAAAGAATTCGAAATGAATAGCCATTGCAGTCACTATTTGTAGACTTTTAATGCGTAAGGCGCAAGGTGCTTTCATTTTTCTACAAATCGTATTGTCTTGTATGAGGTTTATTTCTAAATTTGAAATAATTTTTAAAATTAACCATGACGCTTCGAAATCATATTTGTCAGATCTATTTTTTGCTCTGTCAAATAAAAAGTCCTTATTGACTTTTTTAGTGGACCAAATATTAATAAAGTTTTTATTTGTCGAAGAAATTGGGATGCATTCTTTAGAAATTCCAAACGCTTCAGCATTTTCGGAGGAAATTTCCAAACCCATTAATAAAACTTCTAACACTGTTAATGCTGAAATTTGAATTGTATAATCGTTGTGATAAACAAGGTTTTTAACTGTATTAATTATGTGGGACACTACTTCACATTCAAGTTTAGCGAAGGGTGTTACTTCTGCCAAAGCTGCTAAACATTTTAATGCTGATTTTAAAACATGTAAGCACTGCTCACTGTGTACAATTTCTATTAATGATTTATATGTGGTTATAATTGATAAACCGAGCATATGCGAAAATGGTAAGAATGAGACCGACCTGTCTTTAAATTCCGCTTGGCTGTATAAAGACTTCAAGTTTAAAAGAACTTCAGCACAAACATTTAGAGTTGCACTACGACACTTGGAACTGGTATCGGCTTGACAAACAAAAAGAATATCTTTGCGAGTACATACATTGTCCATGCCGTCGTATGGAAATATAGATTGCCAATATGTATAAAGAACACGTCTTTCAATTGATCGAGTTATTTGGCCAAATAATCTAATAGAGGCTAGACGTATTCTTGAGCTAATTTCATTTTGAAAAGCATTACATTGTGTTTTTTCCACATTGTTTATCATTGCTATTTCTGAATCAAGCTCTCCGAATCCATTTTTCGTAGTCTCAAGTATGGTTTTAACACTTTCCTTGGGTTTTAGTCCTCGGTGTTTCTTTTGTTTTGCTAGTTTTCCACCAAATTTTTGATGTATGATAGATTCATTTATTTTATGTTTATCTGATGAATTCTTAACGTAATTGGACGGCTTAATTAATTCTGGATAAACGACCGATATACCTTTTGTATTAAGGCCATACTCTATAAATCCTAAAGATATTCCCATTAGTTCAGATATATTCAGTTCTATATCCTCTTTACAAAAGGATATATATTTATTCAGCAATATTAAAGAATAAAGTGTTATATTGGAGTTTGCCAACGAATTTATATTTGATGAATACTGCATACGAATTAAAAGGTTCAATACGAATTCACAAGACTGTTTTTGTTCTTCAGTGATAACATCCATCTTTAAATCATCAAATATAACATTTAAGCATTCCAATACAGATATCACATACAAATCATTCTTAGTTTTATCCCCTAGAATCCGTTCGTAAATGGGAGATTGTGCACAAAATAAATTTTCGAACAGCCGACTACGATATTTGGAATTATATTTGATGAACTTTGAGATTATTCTGATGGCATAAAATTCTGCATATTCATTTTTCAAATATATTTCGCACAACCAATTAAAAAAACCTTCAATTCGTTGATCACTTTCATCGCTATTTTCGGGAAGTGTAATATCTAAAAGTTCTCCAATGCATTCAGCAATCAGCCTATCCTCAATATCTATTGTAGCCATCATTTCTAAGATACTAAAGATTTTATCATGAAATTCTTCATGTTGTATTTGAAACGTTTTAAGATCGTTCAGCAATTTCAATATCGTATTGGGTTCCATGGCGACATTTCATGTTTTTTAAATGTATGTCGAAATACTTGGAAGTTTCTACTAAACGACAATACTTTCGTTTGCCTTTTTACACATTAAACGGAATCAACAAGGAACAAACTAGAGATACAAAACAATGGATGGGACTTTTGATAGCGTCGATAGTTTTATTTTCGTCTCACTATCGCTAGTTTGTTTTGACTATCGATAGTTTATTCCTTAACAAGGCTTACCAACAGTATTGTAACGGATTTCTCGATAAATCGTCTACCTGTAACTCACTCTTGAGTTCGATCACTGGATTGTTAAATAAAAGTCCCAATTTAATGACTACACACTTATCTTTATTTCTCATTCCACCAACTTAACACTTATTGCTTGTTATTCGAGCTTACAACTTCTTGCTTATGTATCAATTGCTCTTAACACGACAACACTCTGACAAGAACTGTGTGCTGCACAGTCCGGCAGCCCTTATATAGTAAATTTTTAACAAAAGTTCGCTACTAGAACATTCTGGCAAATACGATTTCGCTAACTAGTTGCTTCTGGCAGTTAATCGTTGAATAGATAGAATGTCACAGTATTGTGACGAACACGGATAATAGAACAAAATCGAATCGACGATAAATTGCCAGAAGCAACTAGACAGCGAATTCGTAGTTGCCAGAATGTTCTAGAAGCAATGTTTTGTTACAGATTTACTATATAAGGGCTGCCGGATTGTGCAGCAGACACAGTTCTAGTTAGAGTGTTGTCGTGATAAGAGCAATCAAGCTATAAGCAAGAAGTTGTAAGCTCGAATAACGAGCAATAAGTGTTAAGTTGTTTTAATTAGAAATAAAGATAAGTGTGTAGCCATTAAATTGGGACTTTTATTTAACAATCCAGTGATCGAACTCAAGAGTGAGTTACAGGTAGACGATTTATCGAGAAATCCGTGTACAGTATTGTAACGGATTTCTCAGCAAAATTACGATTTTTTGGCGCCGCGATCTAATGGTACGGACGGATATAAGAGATCCTCAGGATAAAAAATGTATAAGTTATTTTTTATTTGTATTTCAAAAGACTAGCATAGTTAACTATTGTTAACTTATACACATATATCCGCCTTAGACCTCATTCGAGATATTTGTAACTAATATTCAAAAACAGAAATTTTACTATACCATCCCACGATTTCAGGGTTAAGATGGAGATAAGATATGGTTGGATAGAAGAGATTCTCTAGATAAAGAATATATATATTATAGTTTTCGAGATATTTGAATTTTAAGTTCAAAATTTCCCTAACTTTATTTTAGACTCGTTTCTTAGGTAAAGTTGTTCAGAATGATCCGTAGAACTTTTCCCACATACACGATTTTATAGAAAAAAAGCTATAAATTTCCTACAAAACTATGAATTTTCCGGTTTATAATGATTAATTTTTTTCAATTAAATAAATGTGTCTTAAATTACTCAAACTTTAACCTTTAATAGCTTTTGAACGCTAAGGTTTACGACACAATTTTTTTTGTAGAGGATTCAATTTACTACAAAATCTATGAAACGAGATATTTTTACAAGTAGTTTTTTAGCGAGATGTAAATTTTTCTGTTTGATAATAGGGGAAATAAATAGAAAACTGTAAGGTGGAGGACTTTCCGGTTACCATTAAGTGCTCAGCTTGGAGAGATTTTCTTAAAGGTGTCTAATAACCTATCTTTCAGAGTACCAAGCGAAAGAAATTCGGAAAATGCAAGTAGCGTAGTAATAGGCTAACACTTAACCTTAAGTTGATAGTAAATCTGCAAATAAATGCATTTTTTCTAATTTAATTAATGTTGTAATTAGCAAAGAGAAATATTTTATGTACATTCATACTTCTTTTACAAAAAATTTTAAAAATTTAAATAACAAGACAAAAAGTTAAACGTCGCAGTTTGTTTGTCAAAATTTTACTTTCCATTTTGATCGATATACTTAAAAAATGTAATTCTCAATTGAATATAAACAGTATCCTAGAAGGATTTGTTCAAATATTAACATGAAGATCTAAGTATGTTTGCTTATCGAATACAAATAGCGTAGTAGAATGCTAACGTGTTGCCTAAAATTTTAATTAATATCAAATCTCCAATTTAATGAATTTTTAGAGTCTCAGTAATATTGTAACTAGCAAAGAAAAGTACTTACATTGAATTAATTATTTTATGAATATATATGTATATACATACAGAATGCTAACGTGTTGCCTAAAATTTTAATTAATATCAAATCTCCAATTTAATGCATTTTTAGAGTCTCAGTAATATTGTAACTAGCAAAGAAAAGTACTTACATTGAATTAATTATTTTATGAATATATATGTATATACATATATGTACATAAATATCAATACAAACGTCGAGATTGAATTTTGTTTTTAAAATCATTTGTGAAAATGTTACTTAAAATTTCTAAATAATTTTCGTAGTAACTTTTTTTTACCCCAACTCATCACAGAGAAAAATGTTACCGTTTGTCACATTGCCTAAATCTAAAATTTCTTTATACCATAAGAACGTTTTTCACCTTTATTCAACTCAAAGAAAAGGTTATTAATTGGCAAGGAGCCAATGTAAATAATTTTGGTGATCGATTTTGCAATGCAACTCTATATATTATATATATATTTTATGTATATACTAAGGATGAGTTCTAAATAAGGACAATTAAAGGGAAAAGAACATTTTTGTAATTTTTGTATTTAATTGACAGTCATAAACCGCACAAAAATCTGGGTCCGACTGAAGTATGTGTGAATGGAATATATTTAATTGTGCAAAAAAATATCTAAACTATCCAGTTGTTATGGGACGAAGCTACTACACTAACCAAAGCGATTTTTTTTATACTCTGAACAGGGTATATTAAGTTATCCACGAAGTTTGTAACCACCAGAATAAAACGGCGGAGACTATACTATGTATGTAAGTATATACTTATGTGATCAGCAGTAGTCAATTTAGCCATGTCCGGATTTCTGTATGCTATCGAGATATAGATCTGAAATTTTGCATAGCATATATCTCCCACACAAACTGAACGATCGGAATCAATTGCCTTTATGGAAAACTTATCCATTTGACGTGATATCGTCAAGAAATTTGGCATGGGGTATTGTCTAAGGCAATAATGCAATCTCCATTGTTCAGGTCAGATCGCTGTGGCATATAACTGCCATACTACCTGCCAAATTTAAGTTAGCTATTTTAATTCGATACATCTAAATATGCTGATATCGTATTAAAATGAAATAACTGCTTTTATGAACGCAACGGGCTTTAAAAACTGCAGCTAATTTTATTTGTTTTATAATGCTTGCAATGGCAATTTTGCTATAAAAAATTTAAATGATTTTAATATGTTTTATGATGCATGTGTGTTAATGTTAGTTGTAAAATTTGCGTGTTGTCACAGACTTTGGCTCTCAAATAAAAAAGAACGATTGCAGCAGCATATTTTGATGTAAGAGAAAATAAGAGTATGATTGAAAATGATTTAATAAGCTGATGCCACGCAATGGTGCATTACTTAGGATAAGTTACATTAATATTTTTATATGAAGTTTCGAAAAATGTATTATAACATTCAACCCCCTGGTTAATCAGTATGGAGATTGACAGATTTATAAAGTGATTACCTGGTGCTCTGGTTTTTCCGAAAGTCCTTGACTGGTTTGTACCACAGCTGTTCGCACTTGTCCATCTTCTAATTTAAAAAATTCTTTGATCCGTCCTTAGTCCGTGAATTATGATTAAAATTACTAAAATTACCCACACATCAGTAGGGTAATCCAGCACATAGTCCTTCCGTTCAAAAAATAACAGGAATTTACGTAAATTTTTTTTTATTAATTTGTCTACATGAATGTTGTCGTCTTCGAAATTCAATATTATGCACTTGTGCCAGTGCTTCTACCAATCGTCGAAACACTTCTCAATCTCGATTTTTTGTATAGCCTTTAGCTCTTTAAGCGATTTGAATCTATCTTGTAAACCGACGGCTCTTTAAGGTTCTCTTTACTTTTGGAAATAGGAAAAAATTACACTTCTCATAAAAATACGTCTAACCTTAATGGCTGCTACAGACAAGGTACGAAGTTCCCCGAGCTCAAATAAATATAAACGAAGTAAAAGTTAACTTTACATAAAATATAATATTAAACAAATCACAACCCAAAAAAACAACACAAAATAATATACTTATAAATAAAATTCTAGCATATTCAGCTATAAAAATTACAGCTGGAAATTTTATCGCAGTTCAGACGCATGTTTGTCAATTGAACTCTCCGAACATGTGTTTTACGACTGCTGCGGTTTGTCTTGGCATATGAGACTAAAACTTTACGGCGTCGGCGACATAACATACGTTCTGACTGGCTGCTTGGATCCTCGTCTCACCATAAAAAAACTTTGCGAATCCTGGTCTTCAGACTTGAGAGATATCAAATATAATGCGTAATTTAACTGGTTTTTGGGCATTAATCACACCAAAAGTTAAAAATGACATCAACTGGGGTACTGTTTTTCAATGTATTTCTGCATTTCAAGCATGTAATCCTAAGCAAAACTCGTATTTTTTTATATCTTTTGTTGTTTTAACTGTGAGTAACAACTACTGTAGTCACCTCTTGATGAATCCCACGCTGTTGGAAAGTTTGGTTGGAAAATTGTCTTCGTCAAAATAGTATGACTGGAGTCAACGTGCTGTCAACATAGTCCCATTTTCTACGGTGCATAGCTAACTATGTGTTTGTAAAGCCTGAAGTGTCAAACGTTTCGCTGCAATACATTTAAGACAACGTTAAGCAGCCAGTTCCACAACGCTTCTCGTCATAATGATGGTGCTACTCGTCGGGTGATGTATAATAATGACGTACAACCGAAACAAAAAGAATCTTGTCTAAAATGTGGTTAAGCGCACAAACTCGTTAATTATAATAAATTTATGATGGGAAATTTACAATCAAATTTGAGTTTTGTCAAACAAAATTATCTTTGTTTTGGATGTTAATGTAAAGGACAAGGCCTATTTATTGCCGTGCAATAGAAAGTTGTAAACGAAAGTATCACACATCATTGCATCAAAGTACAAATCAGTAGTCTACAGAACAGGTCGAACGCGTATTGAATGATTTGATGAGTAGTCAGTGTAGGCTATTTAAGAGTAATCGGTAACTCTATTAGAAGAAAGTATAGCCGCCATGTTGTCCTTGAGAACCAAATGTGGCACTAACGTTACAGTGGTATGCCGAAGACCAGTTATGAACACGCTAGAAATTGATAAACATACCTCAACAAACGTTTACCAGAGATCTAATTAGTTATTTGGTTTGATTGTTGATAGCTATAGCACGAACGCCAAACCAATGATTTCACTTGGCCTAGATATTATACGACAACTTTCTAACTAATT